TAGAATAGAATAGAATAGAATAGAATAGAATAGAATAGAATAGAATAACAGAGTTGGAAGGGACCTTGGAAATCTTCTAGTCCAACCCCCTGCAGAAAACCCTACACCACTGCAGACAAATGGCTATCCAGTCTCTCCTTAAAAACTTCCAGTGTTTTAGCATTTACAATTCCTGGAGGAAGGTTGTTCCACTGACTAATTGTTCTATCAGGAAACTTCTCCTTAGTTCTAGGTTCCTTCTCTCCTTGACCATTAAATACCCTTGTATCTTTTTATCTTTTATTTGCTCATTTTCCATTTTCAAATTTAATAAAAAGTTTTATATCATTTTGATTAGTTTTTCATCAAAATTCAGCAGTGTTTGATCAAAGGGTGTTTGCTCTTTATAAAAGCCATACATCTAAAACATCTAAAACATATCTAGATTGTATTTGCAACTGAGGCCATCATAATAATTTAAAGTCCTGGTCTTCAAGCTCTTGTTTTGATTTTAATTTCCATTCAAAATAGAATAGAATAGAATTCTTTATTGGCCAAGTGTGATTGGACACACAAGGAATTTGTCTTGATGCAAATACTCTCAGTATACATAAAATAAACTATACATTCATCAAGAATCATAAGATACAACACTTAATGATAGTCAGTAATAAGCAATCAAATCATACTAGGAAACAATCAATATAAATTGTAAGGAGGTACAGATGACAGACTCAATAATTCCTCTGTAGAACTTTATCAGCAGCTCTTTAGGCAGTCTGAGCTTTCTGAGTTGGCGCAGAAAGAACATTCTTTGTTGTGTTTTTTGATTACGTTTTTGATATTAGGTGTCCATTTTAGGTCATGTGATATGTTTTTATATGTCACAATTTTTCAAACTTCACCAGATTTGTGTATGTGAAGACTTCCATTGTTGAGAGGCATTCTGGAGTTTTTGAATATGTTTTAGGTTTTACTTTTTCCCATACATATATTAGTGAGTTTCTTATGTAATGATTTTGAAAGTATTTTTGAGTTTTATTCTTCTCATACAGTAGGAAGACATGCCATCCCAATTGCAGGTCATGTTCTTCTAGATATAACAATCTCTTGTGTCTAACAATCATCTATTCTTTCACCCATGTTATCACACATGCTTGGTAGTATAAAATCAATCTGGTAATCCAAACCCTCCATTTACTTTAGATTCTTGTCACATTTTCAATTTTATTTGTTGTGACTCCGAGACTTGAACCTGATTGGTCAGCAGATGTGGGCTCGAGTGAGGAGGAAAATATGGCATTGAGATTCGAGCCTGCATTGCTGAGTGACCTTGAGAGGAATCTGGGGGAAGAGGAGGAGTTGAATCTGAGAGATGAATCTGATTTATTAGAAGTTTCAGAGACGTCTTCCTCTTCTGGAACTCCCTCCCTGATTGCACCTCAGGTGTTAACTGTTAATCAGAAAAGTGTATCAGAGGATTCCAGCTGTGATGAAACTGCTGGATGCTGGCTGGATGCCAGAACTAGGAGAAGATTGAGACATCAATCTCAATTAGAAAAGAGACGTCCAGCAAAGGATTAATTAATGAGACGAACACGCCCTTTCTTAGAGGATATAAGGGTGCGCATGACTTTGAAATATTTGCTGGAAAACAAAGTGAATCTTGCTTTGGAAAGACTTGCATCTGATTTACTGCGTTGTGAGCTTTACAGAATTGCCGGACAGATTCTAGGAGAATTGCCAAAGGACTGTGATAACAGAGCAATTAATCTTCTGATTCCGGCTTTGTTTACGTAAAGTATTTGAACTATATTACTTGAAGTTTCACCTGTGGGTACAGGTGGAACAGAACATTTATTCTTGCTTTTTTCCCTTGCCAAATAAATTTCAAAGTTAGTTTATTCAAGTCCTCAAAGAACTTTGTTTCCCATTTTTTTATAGGTACTCTTTGAAACAGGAAAAGCTGTTCTGTAGGATATTCATTTTACTGTAGTGATCCTTCCCAGCAATGATAAGTGCTTTTCCATTAGTTTCAAATCAAATTTTATTTCCTTGAATAATTTTATATAATCATCTTCTTTTATTGTTATGCACCTTGCTGTTAGATATATTCCCAAGTACTTGACTTTCTTAACTATTTGAAAGTCCACTTTTTCTATCAGTTTCTCCTTTTGCTTTTGTGTAAGATTTTTAATTGTCATTTTAGGTTTTTCTCTGTTAATTTTCAGTCCTGCTTCCTCTCCAAACCTCTCTATCTCTTTTGATAGTTTGGGAATTGTTTCTAATGATTCTTCTACAATAAATATCAAAGATGGCGGCGCAATCACTTGCTGCAGCTCAGTGCTCCGTGGATACGTGTTGTTTGTGGTTGTTTGTGGTTGTATTATTGGGTGTTGTGTGTACCTCTTGTGAGGCGAACAAATTCTACAACAGATGGGACCTTGTGGAGATTGGTTTATAAAGTAAACAGGAGATAACAGCTGAGTTTCTCTGGCGTTTTAACATCCTGGTTGAGATTGCAAGGCCTCCCGGCTCCTGGTGGATTAATGCTCCACTGAGTGGGCGAAAGAACAGACGAAGGAAACGTTCAGAAAGGAAGAAGAAGAGGGGCTGTCGAGCTGGTGTTTTATATAGAATGAAAAAACAAAAGAGGAGGCTACCGCTCTCAAGCCTCTTTTTGACAAACGCCAGGTCAGTTGTAAATAAAATAGACAATCTAAGGTTAATGGCTTCTTCAAGCAAATATGTTAAAGACTGTTGTGTGCTGTTAATA